TCATACTGATGATCACAGCTAATGCAATGCACCACAAATGGCAAAGAACCACTCACAGGAAAAACGAGAAAGCATTCAATAGGCCATACCACATCTCCTGCCATGGGAGAGGATTCTGGCCTGGCACTACACCACTTCAGTAGTGGAGGTGGATTCTGGGCCACAATATGGCCGCTCCCAGATAATGGGATGCTTCTGAAATGGCTCAGAACCACTCACAAGAAAAAAAAGAATGTGTTCCATCCACCTTAAAACATCCCCCAGCTAATGGGTTGCTTCCAAAATGACTCAGAACCACTCACAGGAAAACAGAGAACGCATTCAATCTAACTTACCAAATTTCCTGCAATGGGGGAGGATTCTGGCATGGCATCATGCCACTCCCATAGTGGAGGCAGACTACGGGCCTTTCTACCAATGATCAAAGCTAACAGATGCTCCTGAAATGGCTCAGAACCGCGCACAGGAAAAAAGAGAATGCGTTCGGTCCACCTTACCAAATTTAATGTAATGGGGGATTATTCTGGCATGGCACCATGCCGCTCCCATAGTGGAGGAAGACTCTGGGCCAACATACTGATGATCACAGCTAATGGGATGCTTCCAAAATGGCTCAGAAACTTTCACAGGAAAAAAGAGAAAGTATTCATTCTGCCATACCATATCTCCTGAGATGGGGGGAGATTCTGGCCTGGCACTACCCGGCTCCAGTAGTGGAGGCAGCTTCTGGGCCACAGTACAGCCACTCCCAGCTAATGGGATGCTTCCAAAATGGCTCAGAACAGCTCATAGTAAAAAAGATTGCCTTCGATCTGCTTTACCACATGTCCTGCCACAGGGGAGGATTCTGGCATGGCACCACTCCACTCAAATAGTGGAGACAGCTTCCAGGCCACCGTATGGTCACTCCCAGCCAATGGGATGCTTCTGAAATGGCTCAGAAATGCTCACAGGAAAAACAAGAATGCGTTCCATCCACCTTAACACATATCCTGTCATGGGGGAGTATTTTGGGATGGCACAATGCCGCTCCAGTAGTGGAGCTGGCTTCCTGGCCACTGTAGTGCCACTCCCAGCTAATGGGATGCTTCCAAAATGGCTCAGAACCAATCAGAGGAAAAAAGATATTGCGTTTGATCTGTCATACTACATCTCCTGCCATGGGAGAGCATTCTGGCCTGGTACTACCCCGCTCCAGTAGTGGAGGCGGATTCCGGGCCATCCTGCGGCCAATCCCAGCTAATGGGATGCTTCCAACATGGCTAAGAACAGCTCATAGTAAAAAAGAGATTGCGTTCGATCTACTTTACCACATGTCCTGCCACAGGGGAGGATTCTTGCATGGCACCACTCCACTCAAATAGTGGAGATAGCTTCCAGGCCACCGTATGGCCACTCCCAGCCAATGGGATGCTTCCGAAATGGCTCAAAAATGCTCATAGGAAAAAGGAGAATGCGTTTCATCCACCTTACCACATCTGCTACCACGGGGAAAATTTGGGGATGGCACAATGCCACTCCCATAGAGGAGGCAGCTTCCTGGCCACCATATGGCTGCTATCAGCTAAACGAACGCTTCTGAAATTTCTCATAACCAGTCACGGGAATACAGATATAGTGGTTGATCTGTGATACCACATCTTCTGCCACAGGGAAGGACTCTGGCCTGGCATTGCCCTGCTTCAGTAGTGGAGGCGGATTCCGGTCCACCATAAGGGCACTCCCAGCTAATGGGATGCTTCTAAAATCGCTCAAAATCGCTCAAAGGAAAAAAGAGAATGCTTTTAGTCCACTGTACTACATCTCCTGCCACGGAGGTTGATTCTGGCCTGGCACCATGCTGCTCCCATTGTGGAGGCAGCTTCCATGCCACTGTACTGATGCTTACAGCTAATTGGATGCTTGTGAAATGGCACAGAACAGCTCAAAGGAAGAATGATAATGCACTCGATCCACCTTACCACATCTCATGCCACCAGGGAGTATTCTGGGCTGGCACCATGCCACTCCCACAATGGAGGCAGCATCAGGGCCACCGTACCAATGCTCACAGTTAATAGGATGCTACTGAAATGACCCAGAACCCTCAGAGGACAAAAAGACAATGTTTTTGGTCCACCGTACCACAACTCCTGCCATCAAGGAGGATTCCAGGTAGGCACCACATCCCTCCCATAGTGGAATTGGCTTTCTGGCTGCCTTACAGCCGCTCTCAACTAATTGGATGCTTCTGAAATGCCCCACAACCACACACAGGAAAAAAGAGAACGCTTTCGGCACTGCATACTACATCTCCTGCCATGGAGGTTGATCCTGGGCTGGTGCCACTCTGATCCCGTAGTGGAGGTGGCTTCTGGCCCACTGCACCGAAGCACACAGCTAATAGGATACTTCTGAAATGGCCCAGAACCCTCACAGAAAAAAAGAGAATGCTTTCAGTCCACTGTACTAACCCTAACCCTCACCATAACCATAACCCTAAACCTAACCCTAACCCTAACCCTAAACCCTAATCCCAAACCCTAACCTAACCCTAACCCTAGGTCTGGAAGTCCCATTTGACCCAGCTATTCTCCTGCTGGGTATCTTCCCCAAAGAATTAAAAGAATCAT